TAATTTATATTAAATATTATTCTTTACTGAAATTAAATGTCATTATTATTATTTGTAAATGAAAAAGGAAACATATATTCGTAATTGAATTAATCAATTAATTTAAACTTGAAATAAAATACCCAATTTGTCTGTGGGTAAAATTAAATATTATAACAATAAATTAACTCAAATATTTGTTTTTAATTGAAATAAAAAATATATTTTAATTGAGATAAATATTTGTACAATTAGAAAGAAATATATAATAGAGATTGAAATTAAACAATACTGTCTGATTACGTGGTTAGTAATGGCTGTACACCAAACTACGCTTAATAGCCCTGTACAATAGTTACACTTGACATATATACAACATCTCTCACCTCATTGGTCATTAATGATAAATACAGACTTAATTAATTATTAGAAATGAAATTAAATATCTTAACTGACTATGTAATTAAAAACATTTCATTATACTCGTTATTAGAGTAAATATCTGAATTAGTGTTTTTAACTTAATAAAATATTCATATGATTATGCCATTAAAAAGTCTAACAATAATAATAATTTAATAATAATATAAAATAATAACAATAGTAATTATAATAGTAATAAAAATTCATTATTATCAGCATTACTATAATCATTATCAGTCACCATTATCATTAACATGTAATTATTATCACCATTTATTTCATCATTCATATCATTATCACCATCATTATCATCATCATTACCATCATTATCATCATCATTACCATCATTACCATCATTATCATCACCATTATCATCATTACCATCATTATCATCATCATTACCATCATTATCATCACCATCATCACCATCATTATCACCATTACCATCATTATCATCATCATTACCATCATTATCATCATCATCATCACCATCATTATTATCATTATTTCTCCAACCTCTGATCAAATCTTCGAACGGCAGCAGGGGAAATGCTCACACGACCGGCCCCTGCTGAAGAACGTGTGTGTGTGTGTGTGTGTGTGTGTGTGTGTGTGTGTGTGTGTGTGTGTGTGTGTAACAACTTCATGATTATTAAAGAAATCAAAATGTGGTTCGTCACTCACTTCTTACTTAATCTAACCCCGTTTCTAAGATGTACGTGACATACACACTCACACACACACACACAAACGCACACACTCACACACGCACTCACTCACACGCGAGACAGGAAACACACGTTAACCTTGGTTTAATATCCTCTGAGTATGACGATTTAAATCTCTTGAGGACGATGATTTAACCCCTTGAGTACGATAATTTAACCCCCAGAGTGCGATAATTTAACCCCTGAGTACGATAATTTAACCCGAGTACAATGATTTAATCCCTTGAGTACGATAATTTAACCCCTTGAGTACGATAATTAAATCCCTTGAGTACTAATTATAGTACTTGGGAGATTCTATTAAGACACAAGTAATATAGGGAATTATAGACCCAGGGTAGGCTATAACCCATGAACAATTAAAGCCAGTGCCAGTGCGGGCGTTCAACAGTGCCTGGTGTTCATATCCCTCCCTTGACGATACGTTCACGAAGATTACGCCTGATTTTCGTTCGCCAGACTCTCGCCAACACTGGAGGAGGCGAGAGGGGTTGCCACACAGACAGACAGACAGACAGACAGACACACACACACACACACACGATAGATTAAAATCATCAGTGTGGCGTTAAATAGTTAATTATACGAGGGATGATAGACCTGTGAATAACTTAAGACAGATGACCTGCAATCATTCCAGACGACCTGCAATCATTCCAGACGACCTGCGATCATTCCAGACGACCAGTAATAATTCCAGACGACCTGCGATCATTCCAGACGACCAGTAATAATTCCAGACGACCTGCAATCATTCCAGACGACCTGGCACACATCTCCAGAGAAAATCGTCTCCCCAGGATGACCGGTATAATTCCAGACGACCTGCGATTCACCCAGATGACCGTACAATTCATGACGATTCCGCGATCATTCCAGACGACCTGTAATAATTCCAGACGACCTGCGATCATTCCAAACGACCTGTAATAATTCCAGACGACATGCAATCATTCCAGACGACCTGCAATCATTCCAGACGACCTGTAATCATTCCAGACGACCTGTAATCATTCCAGACGACATGCAATCATTCCAGACGACCTGTAATCATTCCAAACGACCTGCAATCATTCCAGACGACCTGCAATCATTCCAAACGACCTGCAGTCACGGCGGATATACGTCACCAATCCATCACAGTGTTTCCACCAATCACACGCAAGTTAGCCTCATCATTGAACCAGTCAGATTAAACCTACGCCCATCTTTTCCACCAATCAGGAACAAGTTACTCATCGTGCTCCACTAATCAGACACAAGATACGCTTGATCTTTTTCCACCAGTGAGAAGCAAGTTACCATAGCGTTTCCACCAATCAGGCACAAATTACTCCCCGCGTTTCCACCAATCAGGCGCCAGGTTACGCTCGTCTTTTTCCTACACCAATCAGGCACGAGTTAATCTCAGTGTTTATACCCGTCGGGCGGAAATTACTACCAGACACTACCAATCAGGAGTCGTTCTCTTACAATATTTCCACCATTCACATGCAAGTTGACTCTACAGCTTCCACCAATCAAGAACAAATTAGTCGCATCATTCAACCAATCAGGACTAATTTATTTCCCACCATTCAACCAATGAGGACTAAGTTACTCCCACCCATTCGACCAATCAGGACTAAGTTACTCCCACCCATTAGACTAATAAGAACTGAGTTACTTCTACCATTCAATGAATCAGAACTTAGTTATTCCCACCCAATCGACCAATCAGAACTTAAATTACCCCCACCATTCAACCAATCAGAACTTAAGTTATCCAACCCAATCGATCAATCAGGACAAGTTATTGCCACCCAATCAGAGCTGAGTTATTCCCACCCATTCGACCAATCAGGGCAAGTTATTCTCACCCAATCGACCAATCAGGAGGGGTGGTATGGGGGGAGAGAGGGCTGTCGACGAGAGATGACCAGAGAAACACTGGGCAGACGCAGAAACAAACCTTCAGTAAGATAGACATAAACAAGAAGTAAAAGAATAAACAAAGTAATAAGTGTAAGTGTAAACAAATGGTAAATGTGTAAAATATGAATTAATGTGTAAAAAAAAATATTGACGTCGATAACTAAGTGTATACAAAGTCGGTAAACATGATTTTAAGAACAGTTTTAATATTAACAATTTAAATTTAATAATACATACATAGAGTAAATACATATATACATACTTTGCATACATCATACATACATACATCATACATATACAGTCATAGAATGCGTGTACACGATTTCTAACATGAACGAACCATGAGAAAGAACGTACGTGTGTGTGTGTGTGTGTGTGTGTGTGTGTGTGATAATTTCATGATCATTCTAGAAATCAAATTGTAGAATGTCACTCACTTTTTTACTGAACCTAACCCCGTTACTAAGATGTACGTGACCCTCCAAACACACACACACACACACACACACACAAACGACACACACACAAACAAACACACACACACACACACACACAAACGACACACACACAAACAAACACACACACACACACACACTCTCCCTTTCTCTCTTTATCCATCTATTTCAATCCATTTTCAATCCTTTTATCATTGTCTGTTCGCCTGTCTGTCTGTCTATCTGTCTGTCAGTCTGTCTGTCTTTTAGTCTAGACTCTAGCCCATCTGTCTCGTTTCTCTCTCTTTTTCATTTTCTTCCTTTCTCTCCACCTTTCTTAACCAAGGTTCTTCTTTCCTTTCTCCTTTACTCTCTCTTTCTATATAGCTCTCTCTCGCTTTCTCCCAGCCCGCGACACACAACTTGATGGGGGGGAGAGAGAGAGGGTGACAGAAGAGAGAGAGGGGGAGAAGGGCACATTACCAACGCCCTGCAGTGGACGGTCGACAATGACGAGGCGGAATGAGCGACCCAGTAGCTGACAGAACACCCGAGAGAGAGAGAGAGAGAGAGAGAGAGAGAGAGTTTCAAACAATCAAACAAAAGACGGGAGAGAGTGACAGTCAGTGAATACAGAGTCAGTGATGGAGAGAGAAAAGCAAGGGAAGGGAAAAGGGAAAGAAAGAAAGAGGAGAAGGTAATAAGGGAGCAGGGCGAAGATAATAAGAAGATTTAGACCTCGAGCGAATGCACAGCTCCCAAACGAGGCCGGCAGCCATAGCGCCAGCGAACGACCAGAGAACGACCAGGGTAAGGCCAGGGGTACGACCAAGGGACGAATAGAGGGTACGACCAGGGGACGAATAGGGCACGACAAGGGATAGAGTAGGGGTACGACCTGGGGACGAATAGGGGTACGACCAGGGGAAGAATAGGGGTACGACAAGGGATGGAGTAGGGGTACGACAAGGGATAGAGTAGGTACGACCTGGGGACGATAGGGTACTACTTAAGGGACGAGTAGGGCTACGACCAGGCTACGACCAGGGAACAAGTAGGGGGTACGACCAGGGCACAGTGGGGGTACGACAGGGCAGTGGGAGCGACCAGGGCACGAGTAGGGGGTACGACCAGGGCACGAGTAGGGGTACGACCAGGGCAGAAGTAGGGGGTACGACCAGGGTGCAAGCGGGATACGAATGGGGGACAAGTAGGGTACGACCAGAGGATGAGTAGAGGGGTACGACCATGAGTACGACCAAGGAACGACCATGAGTACGTCAATGAGTACGACCAAGGGACGACCAGGGTACAAACGGAAGGAAAATTAGTGAGTGACTTAAGTACCATACACGAGGCAATAACTCAGGGCTGTAGCACCTCGATGATGACAACCGGGAAATGAAGAGAATAAGAGAGAGGCATGAGTAGACAGACCGTGAAGGAGGGGGTAAGGGGGACAGCCTTCCTACCAGTCACCGTTCAAACAACAAAGAAGCTGAGGTTGTGGCAACGCGCACAGCAAATCAGCAACAGCAGCACAGCCAGCACCGTCAGCAACAGCCAGCACAGCCAGCCCGTCAGCAACAGCAGCACAGCCAGCACAGTCAGCAACGCACAGCCAGCACCGTCAGCACAGCCAGCACCGTCAGCAACAGCAGCACAGCCAGCACCGTCAGCAGCAGCACAGCCAGCACCGTCAGCAACAGCAGCACAGCCAGCACCGTCAGCAACAGCAGCACAGCCAGCACCGTCAGCAACAGCAGCACAGCCAGCACCGTCAGCAACAGCAGCACAGCCAGCACCGTCAGCAACAGCAGCACAGCCAGCACCGTCAGCAACAGCAGCACAGCCAGCACCGTCAGCAACAGCAGCACAGCCAGCACCGTCAGCAACAGCAGCACCATAAAGAACAGTAATAACAACACAAACAACAACAGTAATAACAACACAAGGAACAACAGTACAGCCAGCAGCAGCAAAAACAGCATAAATAGACAGGAACAAGAACAGCTTAACATCAACAGTAACCAACAAATGCATCAGCAATGACAAGAACCAAATAATATCCTCAGTCACCGTCATGAACAACAACAACAACAACAATACTAACTAACAAGAACAACAACAAAAGTAACAAAATTAACATCAACCAAAAAAATTAACAACAACAACAACGAAATCAACATGGACATTAACAAAATAAATAACAACAACAATTTAAAAAACTAATAAATTCTAACGTTAACAACAGCAATAAATAATAAAGCTTAGAAACAGCAAAATCCACAATAACAGCAGTGGAAGAAACAGCGTCAGTAATTAACAGCAGAAGAGTGGACAAGACAGGAAAATAATTAAGACCAAAAGAAGAATAGTAGAGAAAGACACTGATAAAACAAGAAGAAAATGATGATAAGGAAGATGGTGAAGAAATAAGAAAAGAGAGAAGGAAACAAGGAAGAAATAGGGGGCATGAGGATGATGAAGAAATGAGAAGAGATACGAATGGAATGACAGAAAAATATGAAAAATTATGAATGAATAAGGAGATAAAGAATAAGATTAGATTAAAAAAGTAGAAAGAAGTGGAAGAAAGGACGTAAAACGAAGAAGAAACGAAGGAAAGAGCAGTTTAAGATGAGAAGATAAAATGAAGAGAGAGCACTTTACCCGGCAGGTGTAGCGGCGATCAGGGTACAATTACTGTTATTATTACACCTGAACAGCCAATAATAACAACAACAGCGCCGCCAATAATAACAGCAATAGCGCAGGCCAATAATAACAGCAACAGCACCGCCAATAACAGCAACATACAATATAACAGCAACAGCGCCGCCAATAATAACAGCAATAGCCAGGCCAATAATAACAGCAACAGTACAGCAATAATAACAGCAACAGCGCCGCCAATAATAACAGCAATAGCGCAGGCCAATATAACAGCAACAATCAAATAATAACAGCAACAGCGCCGCCAATAATAACAGCAATAGCGCAGGCCAATAATAACAGCAACAGTACAGCCAATAATAACGGCAACAGGGCCGCCAATAATAACAGCAACAACGCCGCATAAAGCAATAGGCGGCCAATAATAACAGCAACAGCACCGCCAATTATAAGAGCAACAGCACCGCCAATAATAACAGCAACAGCACGCTAATAACAGCAACAGCACCGCCAATAATAACAGCAACAGCACCGCCAATAACAACAACAGCACCTCCAATTATAACAGTAACAACACCGCCAATTATAACAGCAGCACCGCCAATAACAACAACAGCACCGCCAATAATAACAGCAACAGCACCGCCAATAACAACAACAGCACCTCCAATTATAACAGCAATAACACCGCCAATTACAACAGCAATAACACCGCCAATTATAACAGCAACAACATCGTCAATTATAACAGCAACAGCACCGCCAATTATAACAGTAACAGCACCGCCAATTATAACAGCAACAGCACCGCCAATTATAACAGCAACAGCACCGCCAATTATAACAGCAACAACACCGCCAATTATAACAGCAACAACACCGCCAATTACAACAGCAATAACACCGCCAATTATAACAGCAACAGCATCGCCAATTATAACAGCAACAACACCGCCAATTCTAACAGCAACAGCACCGCCAATTATAACAGCAACAGCGCCGCCAATTATAACAGCAACAGCACCGCCAATTATAACAGCAATAACACCGCCATTATAACAGCAACAGCACCGCCGTTTATAACAGCAACAGCACCTCCAATTATAACAGCAACAGCACCGCCAATTATAACAGCAACAGCGCCGATAATTATAACAGCAACAACACCGCCAATTATAATAGCAACAGCATCGCCAATTATAACAGCAACAGCGCCGATAATTATAACAGCAACAGCACCGCCAATTATAATAGCAACAGCATCGCCAATTATAACAGCACACCGCCAATTATAACAGCACAGCGCCGATAATTATAACAGCAACAACACCGCCAATAATAACAGCAACAGCACCGCCAATTATAACAGCAACAGCACCGCCGTTTATAACAGCAATAACACCGCCAATTATAACAGCAACAGCACCGCCGTTTATAACAGCAACAGTACCGCCAATTATAACAGCAATAACACCCCCAATTATAACAGCAACAGCACCGCCAATAATAACAGCAACAGCGCCGCCGTTTATAACAGCAATAACACCGCCAATTATAATAGCAACAGCATCGCCAATTATAACAGCAATAACACCGCCAATTATAACAGCAACAGCGCCGATAATTATAACAGCAACAACACCGCCAATAATAACAGCAACAGCACCGCCAATTATAACAGCAACAGCACCGCCGTTTATAACAGCAATAACACCGTCAATTATAACAGCAACAGCACCGCCGTTTATAACAGCAACAGTACCGCCAATTATAACAGCAATAACACCCCAATTATAACAGCCAACAGCACCGCCAATAACAGCAACAGCACCGCCAATATAATAACAGCAACAGCACCGCCAATAACAGCAACAGCACCGCCAATAATAACAACAACAGTACCTCCAATTAAACAGTAATACACCCCAATTATAACAGCAATAACACCGCCAATTATAACAGCAATAACACGCCATTATAACAGCAACAACACCGCCAATTATAACAGCAAAAACACCGCCAATTAACAGCAACAGCACCGCCTTACCGCCAGTTATAACAGCAACAGCACCGCCAATATAACAGCAATAAAGCACCGCCAATTATAACTAACAGCACCGCCAATTATAACAGCAACAACACCGCCAATTATAACAGCAACAGCACCGCCAATTATAACAGCAACAGCACCGCCAATTATAACAGCAATAACACCTCCAATTATAACAGCAACAGCACCGCCAATTATAACAGCAATAACACCGCCAATTTTAACAGCAACAACACCTCCAATTATAACAGTAACAGCACCGCCAATAATAACAACAATAACAGCAACAATATCAGCAGCACCGCCAATTATAACAGCAACAGCCAAAAGCATTAGTAGCAACTTAAGCAGCACCCATTACAGTCAAAAGAAGCACCACCATTCATTACAGCAACAGCTAAAACAGCAGCAACAAAACTTAAACAGCATTTCTAACCGCAGCAACATTATCAACAGAAGCACCACAACAGTAACAGCAATACCAACAGAAGTATCACCACAACAGTAACAGCAGCAATACCAACAGAAGTACCAAAACAGTAACAACAGGTGAAATAATAAGACCAGTAACTTAAGTATTAACAACAACAACAACAACAGGAACAACAACAGGAACAACAACAACAACAACAGGAACAACAACAACAACAACAACAGGAACAACAGGAACAACAACAACAACAGGAGCATCAACTTCAATGTCAACAATAACAGGAACAGCCATTATACCGTCAACAACAACAACAGATGAAACAGCATCAACAACACTATATGAAACAACAGCAACAACAGCTGAAACAATAACAACAACAGCTATAGCAACAGAAATAACAACAACTACAGCAATATGAACAAAAAACAAATAACAACAAAAGCTACATACCTTAGCAGTAACAAGAATAAAAAAAACTTTAATAATAATAACAAACATAATTAAAGCTGCAAAAACGAACAAAAACAAAACAACAACAGCAGCATCAAGAACAACAACATTAATAACAGCTCCAGTAGTTGTACCATCACCACCAGGAGGGGAAATAATAACAGGCAGAAGCTCAATGAAGAGACAACAACAACAACAACAACAACAACAACAACAACAACAACAACAACAATAATAATAATAATAATAATAATAATAATAATAATAATAATAATAATAATAACAATAATAATAATAATAATAACCACTTGTACTAATATATAAACAACACTAATAACAGCAGCAGCAGCATTAAATAACAATAACAACAACGACTGCAACAGCTGCACCAACAATAAAAAAAACTGTACCAGTACATCAACCACAACAGCAGCATTCATAACATCTACAACAGCCACAACAACAACCACAACAGCAGCAGCAATTTAGTTAACATGTGACGAGCAGCTGCAACAACACCATCAGCAACAATAACCCCATCACCACATCGTCACCATCACATCATCACTATCACCGTATCACCACATAGTCACCATCACCATTTAGTATTTTTCGAGAGATCAATAATAACTCACAGTAATGACCACCAATAGTGAGATTATGTACATAGGTCCACACTTCGCGCGGCTCTTGAAGACGGAATGGGGAAGGGAGGGGATAGGGGGTAGGTGGGAGAGGTGTATAACAAACAATAAACATTAAAACATCACAACAGATGATAATAATAACAACCTTCGGATCACTAGACACCACCGGTTAACAATTAATTAATATTACCTGGCCTGACAGACATATACCGGGACACTACAGGTATACCGGTAAAAAAAAATGTCCGGTTCAAACACTAGACGGTTGGACTATTTACCTTATTCACTTAATGGCCATCCAAACTAGAGGTAACTGCTCTCGACACCACATCTTGTAATGGCAGACTGTTCCTTACATCTGCCTCTGTTGTGAAGAAATATTTCCTTTTATTTCCTTATGTATCTTAACACAATGTAAATCCCAGTATATACGTCTACAGAGTTTGTATTAACACACTTTCACACTACAGTTAACAGCATACACTTAATAAAAAACACAGATATAACGTATATTAAGTGTTTCTGGACGCAGTGACACTTAGTTTATAAGTATGTGACTCCGTGTGTGTGTGTTTGTGGAGCCAAGACAAGTAACTGCATGATCCAGAATCGAAACTACGACTTGAGACAATTTTATGATCAATAACGTCATTTATAAT